AGATCCTCTCCAGATAATAGATGAATTGTCTATTAATAAAATTTTTTATAAATTAAAAAATTTCTTTAATAATCAATATTTTTAATATTTTTTAATTTCAAATCCAAATCAAATTCAAATTCAAATATTTGATTTAAATAAAATTCAAATCAAGGTTAATTTGATTTGATCAAATTCAAATTGATCTAATATTTGATTTGATTTTGAAGAACACTAATGCTAACAGATACTCTAAAATTTTTTATTTTAATTATTAAATAAAAAAAATTAACACAAATTATTAAATGGGTTGTCAAAAAATTGCAGTTGTAAAAACAATAATCGATATTTTGTAACTATAAAATCCCGGTGATTTTATCAGTAAGATATGCAAAATTTACTGTAGTTCAATAATGCTAGCTGAGTTTTTCATAGTGCTGGTACTATATATCACGTGTAAAATTTACATAAATTCATATTACTAAAACTTATGTGAAATTACATATAATGTAAGTTTGTAAAATGTAATTTTTAACCCTACCTAAACCCCTGACTAGAATAAAACTGGCCTTTACTAATTTACAGGTTTCACCCTCCTATTATTAACAATCTTTTTGGGATTTCCCACTCTGACATAAATTTATAATCAAAATGCTGTGATACTTTAGAATTCTGTAATATTTTAGAATTCTTAGTATTTTGTGGTGTCTAAAAGTGATTTTTGTAGCTAGCTGCGTTTAAGAATTTTCTGTAAATCACAGAAAATCACCGTCCCTGAAGAAATTTTTCAATCCAAATCCAGTTTAGATATTTGGAGCACAAGCTGCTCTTTATACTAATAGCTCTAATTAAGAGTTGTTATATCAACTTTTAATGATTTACTTGAAAAAAAATTTATGAATTTCCGTTTGACCCTGGTTATAACGAGTCGGTATTTCCTAACCCGGGTAAGAACTCTAGTCCGTTGACCGTGTCCGTCCCATGACAACATTGGCCACGGGTATCTTATATTTTTTGGATAAATTGTATCAGATACGCATGGTAACAACAAAATCAGTTCTAAAAAGTATAATATGCCTCGTACATTTACTCATAATATTGATTCATTAATAAAATTAATCACTAATAAATAGTTCAATTTCTTTTGGAAGTTTAATGATCACCTTAAATTTTGAACATAAATAAAATATCAAGAATCTGTGATATATACAATTCTGAACTTTTGATTATATAAATATATACTAATTTTTATAAAAAAGTAATTACTTAAATTATTTAAATACACCATTTTACAATAAATATAAAAATTTCTTATTTATTTCCGAGACTTTGTTCTTCATCTTCCAGGCTATCGAACCAGCTCATAAACGAGGACGGATCAATTTCATCTGATGGGTTTAATAATGATCCTATTGAAAGTGTGGACTGACATCCATCTGTTTGAATGTGTCTTGAACGAAAGTCATTATAACTTTGAGCTGCATGTCCTTCTGTTTTATTAAATGTCGAGGTTTTAGCCTTTGGTAACGCTTGTTCGGACGATTTTTCTGTACTTTCTATAGGAAATTGTCTTGACATTAACGTTAGTGCTAGTGCTGCTTGTCCAACTTCTTGGTCAAGAATATGATTAATTGATGTTTCTTTTGAAATTTCCGATGGTGAACCTTCTAACTTAGGTCTTTGTAATTGCGAGATTTGCAATGAAACATCCAGCTTCTCGGCCGATTCCATGCCTCCAACAATAGATTGTTCGATTGTATCTATGGCACGTGTTGGTGACGGAACTTGATTACTCGAAAAAGTTGAACGACGTCCTCTCACCGCACGTTTTTGTCCTCTCTTCTTAGGCTTTACTTTCATATCATGAAGACGATTATAAATTTCTCTCTTTTTTTCGTCTACATCTCCAGATTTAGTTCTAGCAGTTTTTAGATGCTTATAAAATATGGCGCAATCGCCGGCTGTTTTATGTGACATTTTATCTGCTATTTTATTAAAATCTTTTGGCGTCATCTTAAACAACTCTTCAAATTGGTTTTGCTCGTCTTCCGTCCAATTTGAACCTAACGGGGTATTGTGTCCGTAAAATTCTACCGGATCGAATACACGACCTGAATTGTCCACAAAATTGCTTGCTTTTTGTCCACTAACATCAATTTGTAGTGGAGGGATACGGGCACGTGATGATTCTCCCCGTTGTTGTTCTTGTCCCTGTTTTTGGTCCTCTGCACCAAGTTTTTGTAATATTTCTGCAAATTCTTGATCGGTAGTTACATAATCACTACATCTTCTACTTCTTGTTGTGCGAACTGGATATCTTATGGCAAAACCAGCTGTAGTAGAATTTTCTGGTATAGAATCCGCGCGTTGTTTCCCTTTAGATTTTGTGTTACGTCTTTCTCCATTTTTACCTTTTACACTTTTAATTAATTCGTCCCCTCTAATAGAACTATCACTACCGTCATCATCAAGCGCTTTACTTCGAATTCGAGATTCATAATCTTCTCGTAATTCACGTTCTTTTCTTGTTCCTTGCTGAAATTTTCGTTGAAATTTTGAAAATAAATTATCTTTCGATTCATCAAGTGAATCATCGTTATATTCTTGATTATTAAACCACCGATCTAACAGAGAGTTCTTACAAATGTTCTTATTTTTCGTGTTTATATTTGAGTTTTCTGAAGTTTGAGCTTTGATTATTGTTTTTGATTTTTGTCGGTAAGTTGATGTTGATGTATCTTCAACTTTTTTCTTTCGATGTGCTATGGATGGCACACTTTTTGGTGATACCTTTTGTGAATTATTACTATTGTCTTTTTTAATTGACTTTGATATTTTTTCTGTATCACGTTTTAATCTTTTTATAGCTTTCTGATCTGCTTGAAACTTTCTTTTCTTTTCGATTTGTTCTAATTTTTTATCTCGAAGTCCTTCCCAAATATCAATTTGTCCTTCTACATATTCTAATTCTTCGAATAAGCTTTGGAATTTTGGTCTCTCCTCCCCTGAATTACTGAGCTCCTCGGTTTTAATGTGTTGAGATATTGGCACACCGTCCAGACCGGGAGCCTCAATAATTCGAGTATTAATATCGACATTTGTATTTTCATTCGTTGAGTTTTGTACTATATCGCATATAGCTGTAGTCGAACTAAACACGACGTTATTTGACTCAATATGGTTTATTGTAGGTTCTCCATCACTATCTGTTATGTTATTTCGAAACTTCTCAATATGTGCATCCGATTCTTCAAGACTTGCGTCATTGTTTTGAGAGTAAGATTGTAACTGTTCTTGTTCTTTAGAATTAATTTCTCTTACTTGTGACCGACTTATTACTTTAGATTCTTCTATTCTTTGGCTTTGCTCAACTTCTCTCCTTTCTAGACTATGCCAACCAGTCCAACCACCTTTTTCATTGCCAATATTTGATTGACTAGAGTTTTCTATTTCCTGGATACTTTCTATGCTGAAATTGGTCTCCTCGTCCTTATATTCAGGTGTATACTGCATTTTTTCTCTGCAGGATGATGAATTATCATCGATTGATGATTTCTCATCGCGATTTTGAAGTCGCACAAATACAGACGATTGCTCTATATCGAACCGATGTGGTGACGCTGCTGATTTAATTGATGGAGGCTTTGATCGACTATGAATATTTGTTGGTGATAAATTTGTCGGTTCTTCTGACTTTGTAATATCTAATTTAGGTACTGGTGATCTTGTTCGATGACGTGTAAAAGATGAAGAACTTGTTACAGAAGATCTAGGTGAAGGGGATGTTGATCTATTTCTATTACGCCAATTATCGTATGTAGGTCCTATACCTTGAAGTTCATCTCTCTCAAAGTCTTTGCTAAACCCAAATGAAAATTTTTGTCGTGTTTCTAATTCTGGATACTCAAACCCGCTCATGTTGTGGATAATATATTGATTTGTACGGCTTAATTGACGTTCGCGAGATATTGATGCATTCCTGTCACGATCATTTCGCTCTCTATCTCGATCCGATCTTGGCCTATCATGTTCTGGCCTTTTTCTTTCACGACTTCTTGGTATCGTACGAAGATCCCAATCATCGAAGTTGTCTCTGTAACGATACATGCGGTGATGTGAAAAATAATCCCGCTGACCAGAATTATCATGTGGATGATATCGACCCCTGCGGTTTGGATTTCGGTCATCGTACTTATTATAAAAAATGCCGTATAAAAAATACACATATTTCATTAACAAATTAAATATTCGGATTTTACAACTAATGATCTTGAATTGTTAATAATAGCCTACGATTAAGAAATTTACAACTACTTACTTCGTGGTCACGAAGATTAGGAACTAATTGGCGACCTATGCCTTCACGTCTAATGTCACTATTATTTCTGCGATCATTGTATAAAATTCTTTCTCCTGGAGCTCGACCCAATTCATCAAATTCACGTCGTTTATTACTATACAGCATAATATTGAAAGATATTTAAATTATATTTTATTCATTTTCAATTTGAAAAATTATAAATTTTTAATTTTATTTTTTCTAGAATGAGGAATTTGGATCAATGTAATAATCTAATTAATTTTTTCCTCAAACTGATTGTTTATTATTTTGTCATAAATTACCTTCGATTTATTGGTGTTCCGTATATCTCACGTTCATCTTGTCTGAAATATATAAATATATTTTTTGGTGAAAACATAATTCCTTAAAGTTTTAAAATTTAAAATATTTCCCAATGATTTTTATACTTTACCTTCTAAAGATATTTGCACCTTGCCTTTCACGTTCATCACTTTCCTCGCGCTCTCGTCTAAAATGAAATTCCTTTTAGCGAAAAATCTTGAAAAATATCGCAACGAATGACAAGTAATTTGCTTGCAAAATATTCTTGAACTTAGTCCATAATTTTTTGTTTTACATGCCTTCTATAATCAATCGATCCTTCTCTGTCACGAGAGTCACGGTCATCGCGATCTCGCCTAAAATGAGAATACTTAATAAACGGTAGCAATTAAAGAAAAAA